GCCGAAGGGGAACCTTCCCCGTGGGCTGAGCCGCTTTCCTCCCACCCGGCAGCTCACGGACAGATCCCAGTTAGCACCAGTTTCTTCTCTGTTTAGCCATGTAACTGGCCATAGCTAACAGGGCACACAGGAGCACTTCTCATCCGTGTTTGCTCTAACTGACCCACGTTCGAAAGGACCGAGGAGAAATTTTACTTTTTTCCTTTTTCCCAAAAAACCCCTACAAACTGCAATAATAAAAATGATTCAGCCGCAGTCGCAGTGATTCTCTGTAGTCTCTTCTCAGCACGCCCACGCCGAGGAAGCCTTTCACACCGGGGAGGGAGGGCTGCAGTGGGAACCTCCTTCCAGCCCAGCTCGCCACTGCCCCGGGCAGCCCTTGCACCAGGGGATGGGGAGGAATTGATGAGGCTGCGATAAAAAGGGATCTTCCTGGGGAAGGGATTTGCGGTCCGTGTGCTGGTAACACCCCGAAGTCATCAAAAGAATGGAATTGTCCTCAAATTGCCGCTGGAACCTTTGAAAAGGATTCCAGTGGATTTGTTGGAGGGTTGTGAAGGTTCAGGAGCCTGCTTGAGTTCTATCACGCGAGCCGTTCAGATGGAAAACCCGCCTGAATGTTGGAGCGTTTCACAACAGCTGAGAGCAAGGCTTGCTGTTCTCTAAGGCCCCGCTGCGGCTGCCTCCTCCCCAGGGCTTCTGACAACTCAGGTGGTCCCAAATCACCCTCACACCCATCACAGCCCGGAAACTCAAGGGCAGAAAATCCGAGCGTCAGTCTCGCGAGCCTACGGGACAACCTGAGACAACCTCCCCGCCGTCTCCGAGACACTACGCTTAAGGGGTAACCTCAGCCTCCGAACCCTCTGGGAGCGTGTGTGCTCGGCAAAAAGCCCCTTGGAATTGCTCTGGGCACTGGGCAGCCATTTTTCAGGAAGGTCAGATGTTAATATGTGAATAAAACCAAGTTGAAAATGAAGAGTTTCGTTATACCCGGTCTCTACACAACAGGAGGAAAGGCAGAGTCCACCTGGAAGCTGGGAGGTTTTGTATTTTGCTTTCATACCCGTCTGGTGCTTAAACCTTCCCTTCTGCCTCCTTTCCTCTTGCTGCACCTGTCCCAGCCTCTCCG